GAACCTGGTAAAAGGCCCCCCTGGTCACGGCCGTCAGGTGTTCTTCTAAACTAAGCCGCGTATCCAGGAGGACGCCCAGGTAAATGGCCCAGGTATTTGGGCTGTTGAAGGAGGCTAACATTGCTATTCTCCACATGAACATCCTGTCTTCCAAACCAAGCCCGTCTTCGGCTTGGAGAAAAAATTGGGATGGCGAGGAGGAGGAACGGATAAAATAGGCCCCAGAAGAGCAACAAATTGCTCCCAAACGGGGAACACGCAGAAAGCAAAGCTCAGTTGGTACACGGAGAGTGAGGCAGATGGCCCCGTCATTACAATTTCACACCAAATGCTATGCCGCGTGAAATCCGTCAGGACTTCCGAATCTGTAAAATAAATCAGGCTCGGCTGACTTCATCAACGCCTCGGAAAGACCCGGAGAACTGGAGAACTCTTCCCGTTGAGCTCATGAAGGCCGCTGTTACTACATTTGGCCTATATGGAAATAAGAACAGCTTTGGTCTTGTCACAACCGTTTCTGTCTCAGGATTGTTGTTCAGATGCTAAGTTGCGTCCGACTCTTCACGACCACATGAACCATAAATCCCCCCCCCCCCGCCTTGTCCTCCACAAAGTCTCCCAGACTTGGCCAAATCCATGTCCGTTGTGTTGACCCTATCTAACCATTCTTGTGGCCCACCAGCTGATGGCAGATTCAGACAGTGAGGAGGTTGGGGAAGAAGATGGGCCAGTCCTGGAGTCTGGGGAAGGCTCTGATGAGAGCTTTTGTTGGTACAAGGTTCACTCCTTGTCCCGACATATACCCCTTTTATTAATTGACTGTGAATTGTGCTCATTCACATCCAGCAAAGTCTTTCGAGGGAGGATTTACAGTCACAGACCTTATCTGGCTTGGAGAGCTGCCAGGCCGATCTCTGCAGAACCTGGCCAGGAGTCTCGGAGAGTCACGAACCAATGAAGTGAATTAATTGTCTCCTGCAAACTCCACTCCCCTTTCGCTCCTCTTTTATTTCCTCTGGGAGGGGCCATTCATCGTCCACCTGTGGCTTTATTCCCAAGTCAACCCTTGTTCTTTAGCTCTTCCCTTCATCTGGCCACTCTGCGCATGCGCACACTGGGAACAGGCTCCAGCTGTTCTTCTGCCCCACTGATGTTTGACTGCAAAGGCAGCTGATAACTGGCATACAGCCCTGGCCCCCTCTCTGCCTCTGATACAGAGCCCTCCTCATCATCTTCCCCAGACTCCAGGACTGGCCCATCTTCCTCCCCAACCTCCTCACTGTTCGAATCTGGCCACAACAGCACCCACTGGAAAAACACCCAATTATTCCATTCCAGTGGAATAATTTCAATGGCACAAGAGGAGGGAAATATTTTCAGAGAGGCAGAAGAGTGAGTTTGGATTCTCGGACAACATCGAAGATTAAGCCGGAAATTTCTACCCGCAGCAAGGAGGCAAGACATTTCAGGAGCATTTCAGATCGTTCCTTAACATAAATATGAAGAGCCTCAAGGCCCGTTCTTAAGCAATCAACACAGAGGTCATGTAAATTCCAAATGAAATAAATGTAATGCTTAGAAGCAAAAAATTCTTGCCAGAGGTTTGCTTAATTCATGTCTTCCCTGGACCAACAATTAAGCGGAGTCCTTTCCCACCCGATCAATACTTGTTTTCTCGGCCCTTTTTCAGTTTCGATAACCTCACTTAGATAAGCAGCCTGGAATTTTTTAAAAAAGCAATCCTCTGTATAGAGTTATTACAGGGACACGGTGACTCAGTGGTGAAAACGCGGAGCTT